GGGGTCAGACCACGGTTGGATACACACACACAAGATGATATTTCTCCGCTGCCCGACCAGGGGGACGTTGCATGTTATGTGGAGGAGGTGATGTGGCCAGACCCTAATAGAAGGCGTGATCCATAAAGCTATCTGCACGATCCTTTACACAAGTATTTCTCTTTGCCAGTCCACTATCATTTTGCTTTTTTTATTGCTGTTGTACTGATTACTGTGCTGGGATCTGTCTGTTTTTGTAAAAACATGTAAAGAAAAAAAAAAATTCCTGAAGCTGTTCCATTTTTGTTTATTGAAATGTGAGTAGATTTACTAAACAATCTTTCCCAGAGATCTGTTTGATGAAATAAAAAAAAGTCTACAAAGCACTAAACATTTTTGTGTTGAATAATGCTCAGTGTGTTGCTGCTGCTGTGAATGTTTAAGAAACATGATGCATGTTTCCATTGATCCAAAAATGCCCTTTTGAAAAAAGAAGTGCTAGGTTTTGATTGCAGAAATTTGAAGTAGAAGTGAGTTTATCTCCAGGTGTTGTTTCTTATTTGGCTTGTGTGCAGAGTTTAGACACAGTGGGTCAAATTTGCATTTTGTGTGTAACTAACCAGGAATTGGTCAGGAAACTGATTTTGGTGGAGGAGTGTGGTGGCAGGCTGACTGGCGAGGCACGAGGGAGAACCGTGTGGGGGAAGTCCGAGGGGAGAGGGCAGGTGGGCGATCTCAGCTGACTCGACGGAGGTGAGTGAACCTGGGAAAAGGCAGACAGACACAGGGAAAACTAAGGGAAACAGAGATGATGCAGGTTTCTCAAGGGCAAAGTGGCACCAGGTTTGGAGCAACGACGATCAAGCAGCGATTGTGTGGAGAACTGGGGTTGAAATACTGGCAGGGATGGAGTTGATTGCTGGCAGGTGTGGCAGGCGGAGGAGGTGGCTGACGAGGTGCGGGTGCGGACTGTCAGCTGGGCTCAGGAGCAGAGAGAGAGAAGGAGAACACAAGCAAGGGGAGCAGAGGCGACAGACAGGCAGGCCAAAACACAATCACAAGAAAAAGAAATAAACAGGACACTCACCGTCAGCCGGGCTGCCACCACAACACTCTCCTATGTATTGTGATTGTTGCGTCCTCTCCTCTGGCTCCTCCCAGCTCCCCCTCATGTTCATCTCTGTTTGGATGCTACTTACTCTGATTAGCGTCTGAAATGACCTCTTCCATGATTCCATGAGTATTCCATAATACTCTTATCGCAGTTAAGGAGCTGATATTTGTGTCTCCTGTTTAAAGGCAGTAGATGCTCTCAGCTGTGTGTGTTGAGTTATTTGTCACAAACAGCAGGAGGCGGCTGCCTCGTTAGCTCCATGTGCTCTGGGAAATTCACTCCTGTAACTTGTGTCAGTCGACTTTTCTTTCCGCAGTTGTCAGCCAATTATCAGAAGCCGACAGCGCAGCAGCTGCCTGTCTGGGTGAAGATGTGTTGGCCTGTTTTAGGAAACCTGTTAAGTTGTGTCAGGATGATTCAACACCTCTGATTTCCTCCTGTAAGATACAATGTGGTGTCAGTCATGGCAGAGAGTAGAGTTGCTGCAACAAGTCCAAACAGATGGTTCTTACATTTTGGTATTTTTAACACAAGTTATACAAAGTGCCTGGTTCAAACTTTCTTATTAAACCAACCAGGTTTACCAGAAGGAACACATGTTAAAATTGAGATTTGAAATGAAACAAATTACCAATTCTAAGAGTCAGTAAAATCACTAAGTCCTGTTTTTTCAGTACAGCATTGATATCATAGAATTACTTGGTAAAGACCAACAATACATCTAAAAGAAAATGATATAAGACGTTTTGAATGTACTTTAAAGCAAAAACTGTTAAAGACTCAGGGTCCAGATGTATAAATTCATGTTTTAAAGATTCTGAAAATCAAATAATTTTGAGCTTGATAAACATACGGCTAAATATTACACACTACCAATCCCATATGTGGAAACATTGGTACAGTACTTTTAGTTGATGGTTTATTATGGTGCTTTTTTTTTGTGGTTCTCCCCCACGTGCACATTTTTATTCTAGTACACCAGACCAAACAAAAACATTATTCTGTCCCAGCATCCCTCATAGTCATACCATGGATAAGGACATGGTCAACTAGAACAGGACATAGTCAGTTAGACCAGGACATAGTCAACCAGAGTGGCATGAATTTTTAACCGAGATGGCTTGTCACCTTGCACTTCCTCTTCGTTCTCTTCCTACTACTCCTTCCTCCTCCTCCTGTCTGGTTTCCTCATCCTCTTCCTTCACGTCTCTCTGGATCCATTGTTCCAAAACTGAATGAAGTGGCCCTGTTATCTCTTGAAGGTTCTGATGGGTGTGGGACACTTAATTGGGTGCTAATTGAGCTCATGCTGTGTTGACTTAAGTGAACAATATTGAATGTTAGTGTTTTCTAAATGACCACATGGTGCAGGCAGTGAGAAATGAAGGGGTGTGTGTAGAGTTTTGCATCAACAGTTCAACAAATCTGAATCGTGTCAAAACCAAGGGGGTAAGCCACAGCTGAAACAGTGAAGCCGACCAAAGCCTGCATGCAGGCCCAAAAATGACGTCAAAACCCTGTGACATTCCGTCGCCCATGAGATGTAACTGTATTGGTTAGATTATAAACTCTCAGTGAAGCTAAAACATCAGTGACGCTACTTTGATGTTTAGCAGGTGAGCCTCGTAGGTGCGCTGATTAAACAGTGACAATTCGAGTCAGTCAAACACACTGAGCCAAGAAACTTTTTGTTTGTGCAGCTATGCAGCTACCAGAATTACGGTGTTTCTGCTGTTGTTCTACGTCATTAAACCACAGTTATGCTGCGCGATCGTGCGCAGTAGATGCTGGTGCCAACAGGAAGTAGCCCTGTAGCCTAGTTGTATTTATTGGTCCAAAACTGGCTTCACTGCTCTCCATTCAAACCAGCAGGGTGGCTTTGTCCAGTAATATACTGTCTATGGTCAAAACAGGGAACAGCGTAGAGAAATGGGTGTGCTTTTTGATAAATGGCGTTCTGGTCTGGAAGTTTTAGTTCAGACGCTTCAGTTTATATCATTTGTTGCCCGATAGCAAATGTTCTGAGGCCCAGTACCAGTATGGAACCCAGGGGATCGAAAATACACCATCTGCTAGAAAATAACCATGACACCTTCTTGTATCTTCTGTTTCCATGGTTATGATGCAAACAGGAACTGCAGGTGTAAACAGCTGAAGCATGACGGTGACAAAAACTAAAAATATATCCAGACAAAATAGAAAAAGAAAAAACAATGAGAGGGAAAAAATACATCTTTTCCCACTACAAGCACATTTTATAATGAACTAATGTGCCCAAAATGTCCCATCATTATGTCCTGGAACATGAACCAGTTGATGAATAACCTAAAATAACAATACATGCATGCTTAAAAAGTAAAACAAAAAAAAATTTGTTGGCTTGAAAAAACATATCATGGTAGCAAGTAAGATAAATGAGTGGTATTGTGAGTGTTTCAGAGCTCTCCCTGTGGAGAAATGAAGTGCTGTATAAGTCGTGAGAAGGTGGGAGCCAGCTCTCACTTCACTGCCTCCGCCCACTGCCAGCACCCGAGGGTTACATCACATTCATGTGATTTAAACAATTAAAAACCAAAAGATGCCATGACGTGGTAGTTACACCTCGTGCCTCTTACTGCAGCGCTGACTGCTGTTGTGGGCAGGAGGCTGCAGGGCACATGATGGCTGCAGAGAGAGAGACACAAAGGAAACAGGGAACAGTGTGATGACATGTGGTAAACAGAGTATGTTCATTTTCTCACACTCTTAAATGTCTCCAAGAGAGCAGAAAAGACAACTAAAAGAAATAGAGCTTCGGTTTTGCCACTTTGACTTGATAAGCTGATACATTTGGTGCAGTGCAGATTTAAAGCTGCACTAATCAATATCTGTATCAAAGAGAGAACAGGCCTTGGAGAGACTTTCACCCAGGAGACCGGTGCTTTTAGTTACATGACTTAACTCACATAAGTTATGTCACAAAACTAACATAGTTATTTTACACCTGACCAGAAAAACAACACTACAGGTCGTTTGTGCAGCTCATTATTACGACCCATATTAACGTTTATTGTGGCAGCGACCTTATTTGCCTCACAACGGTAGTTAAGGAGGAAGTCGGGTAACGTATTAAATAGACAAAGTCCGTCCAACGAGGCAGGACGGGTCAACCCGGGACTTTCAATCAGGAATATGCTTTTCGAGTTCCGTGTGAAACCAAGTAATTGTTTAGTTATTTTGAGCTTTAAATTATACTGAATTATGGACAGATTACGTCACGAGTTATGTAATGTACTTACTTTAACCCAAACCATGGCATTTACCTAAACCAAACCAAACGGCGACTGTTTTACAACATTAACCACCTGTTTAATGTCATGTGATGTAGGTCACGTGACTTATGTATCGTAGTTAACACATGTTGTTTTGAGAGGCAAGGATACACGACCTGCGATGTCGACTTTTAACTAGGGCTGGGCATGTTAGTGCATTAATTAATTAACGCCAACAATTATTTTAATGCCCGTAATGCAATTTTAATTATTTTTTTGAAAGTCTGTTGCTCACTGGCTCTGAATACCCATACAGTCAAACCATGGGTCACAGAAGGGGTGGGATGTTGATCAGCCTGCAAATCACCTTCCCAAACAATCAGTGGAGGGAGGCTTCGGCTAACTAGCTGCCTGCATCGTGTGTAAAATAGATAAACAAAAGCAAGACAAGCGATCAAATGCCACAGTGAAGTGGATAGCTACACACTGCATGCTGATTAGTACTGGGGAAGATGTCTGTCTTAGGAACGTTCTTAAAATCACAACATAGTCGCTTGGCCCCGTGGGTCGCTCTTTGCTCCGGTGATCAGGAGATAAGCGCTCTGCGAGTAAACGGCAGGCGCTCTATGGATAGTAACCATGGCAACAGCTTCTGTGTGCTACACAGCTGTAGCCTATTTAACTTAAGTTTAAATTATAGGCTACATAACTTTGTCTGATAGGCCTTCATCTAGATTTGTGGGGATGCTCTGCCGTGCGAATTCCCTCCTGTTGATGTCCTATTTAGTTAAACGGTGATAGATTCTGGAAACTCACAAACAGCGAGGATCAGTCTCTTCCAATGATCTGTGCTAACAGGGACACTTACTGCTGAACACACAACAAATGTTTCTACCTGAAAACAGATTTATATCTGTTAACCTGTGGCTCAGAACGAGCCTGTTATGATGTTCTAGCAAACAGCTTTGGTTTAATATTTGATTACATTAATGTTCAAGTTGAGATTTACAAGAAATATTTTATTGCTACTGTGTAAAGGGAATACTGCTGGGAAAAAGATTTGTTTAAACTGTTTGCAAAACACATGTTATTGCACTTTTGTGGATCATTATTCAATTTTGCGCATAACAATGCGATTAATCGCGTTAAAAATTTTAATTGTTACCCAGCACTACTTTTAACCCATGATCTTTTCCTAAACCTAACCTTAACAACTAGTTTTATTTTGAAAGTCTAATCTGACGTTGCATATTTATTTTTGACTGCAGAGCCTTACACGTGCAAAAACAACGCTAAAGGGCGTTAAAAAGCGCTGATGAAAGTGATGAGACAGGAAATAAGAGCTTCGTGTCCACCAGCTCCTGAAGGAAACAACTGCCTCTTTAGCTGCTAAATGCTCCACTATGTTCGCCAGCTGCGCAGTTTAGTTCCTCTCTGGAAACCAGACTGAACCAAAACAACCAGCTGAAAGAGGCCAAAAGGCAGAGTTGCAGTCTGTGATAACTCTCAGTGGGTTTGTCACTGCGAGTGAATTTTGATTAGAGCGTCTGTAAAATTTGGTGTGCAGTATTTTATTTGGGGTGAACAGTCTCATATCATGTGTGATGAGCCACTATCTTACTGCAGTGTAAGTGTATTAAACAAAAACCTTCTCGTGTTATAAATCATTGCAGTAAGAAAAATCGGCTCACCACAAACCCCCTTATCTGAACTGTACAACCATTGTGTGATCAGGAGAACCACCCTGATCACAGAGGACCCCCATCACCCTCTCTCCATCCCCTCCAGCACTCTTTCCAGTTCCTACCGTCATGACAATATAAATTGAGAATATAAGAATATAAAATGCTGCAATTTGCATCTGATCTCAGACTCCAGCGCTGGATCTCCTCTGGTTAATGAACTCACTACAGAGGAAGCTGAAGACAAAAGACATCGATGGACAATATCTCTGTATCTCGTCCATATAGTTCTACCTCAGCCGTACTGGCCTTCAGGTTGCCGTGGTAACACCGGGCGTAGAGATGTGGTTGTGAGCGTGTCTGAGTCAGAAGCCGAAATACATGTCCCTGAAACTTGTGAAAGATATTTATCCAGGAGAAGAACAGGCAAAAATAAGAACAAAGCCACATAAACCTCTGCAGGCGCTCAGAGGAGCGAGGTCAGAGCCATGACGTCATGAGGTCATGGCTATAAGTTACAGTGTCTCTGTCTGTCAGTAAAGCATCTTTATCGCTTCCCAAGCTGTTGAAGCCGTCGTGCAACTAGCCAGTGTGTGTGTCCTCAGCACAGGTGTCCCACCTCTATTTAAAAGCATTTAGTAAAAGTGTTCTGAAAAATAACAACAAGAAATGTTAAATAATAAATGAAAATGCTTTGATAAAGGTTTATTTGTACTGCATTATGTTCTATAACATTTTTATATTTTAATCTCTCACCTGCCATCACCAGAAGTGAGTTTTGGGGGGAGGACCCGCAGAGCCTCCACTCATATTTCAGCATTGAATATTTCTTCAAAACAATTTTAGAATATCTTCTCATCTTGTTATGGTGAACCCAATACTGCCTAATCATTAATGAGCTCTTATGTCCCCACCACTTTCCAACACGAAGTGACGCCCTCGGTTGCAGGCTGCCAAATATGAAAACAAGTAGTCTGCACCTGTAGCTCTGAGATGTGTTTAGGAGGAGTTGGTATTTAATTACCTCGCTCATAAAAGCTTTCTCCATGCAGAATTGAAAGGTGCAGCCTCACTGGACTCCTCTTTGATCACAACTGACCAATACTGATTTCGAGATTTGAGGAATTGCATGACATAAAAAAAGATTATCCCTAAAATTGTGTTATGTTGATACCATACCAAGATACCATGACATAATGCAGTATAAAATATTTATAATATATTTTTGTTATAAATACAAACAAATATATTAAAGGTTTGATAAAAAAGAGTCAAATGCATAAAACTACAGACCATTTTTTAATATATCTGATTTGTGTAGTACTACTACTAATGAACATTAAAGTAAATAGTGTATTGTGGGGGCCAGCAAACAGAAACTATAAAAAAATACTTATATACCACTACTGCTACTACTGCTAATAATAATACCATATATCCATCCATCCATCGTCAACCGCTTATCCTGCGTACAGGGTCATGGAGGGCTGGAGCCAATCCCAGCTGACTAATACCATATATCATATCATTGCTATAATAATAATAATACAGGGCTCTCCTACATAGGCAAAAAATTTGGTATATATATATTTTGTCATGCAATGCGTATTACTTTGCATATAATCTGCCACAATTACAACTTTCTACAATGTAGCATATTCACATCTAGTTTATCCCTTTAACAGCACTCTGTTGATTATATCCAGATTTCACACTAACATTTCACATTCAAAAGAAAAGCTAGATAACTTTGTTAGGCAGGAAGCTATGTTAGATTTTTTTTTTTCTGGTTTAATCATTTCTGACACATTGACTGTAACTACAGACAACCAACTAGCAGATATATCTAGAATATGTTCAACAATATAGTTTAACAACATTAGCGCTCCTCCACAGATAAACATGGCATTGGCTTCATGGCAAATTTAGCAACAGGCAGCATTAACTGTTAACATTAAGTTATGCTGAATAATATTTAGAAGTACTGAGCTAGGGAGAAATTAACTGTCATATATTGGCTGTTATAAATGCCGATATATGACTATCTGCAAGTAGCTTATATCGGCTGATATATCTGCAAAACGATAAATCAGTCGGGCTCTAATCACAACACCTGGTGTGTTAGCAAGCAGGTGTAAGAAAGTCGTAACATACACAAGAATGTTTGTACATCTCACTGAGGGTGGGAAGTGGTTCAATATGTGTGCATCTCTCTGTGAGCAGCCGGTCAGCATGTGTGACGGTGTTTCAGTGAGCTGTTCTGTAGTGAGATGCAGACACTGAGGGACCTGAGTTATGGGAGACCAGATTGAGAGGTTGAATCTGGTAGGAAGGACTTGTAGTCTGCCTTTGAACGTGATGATGTCCGCATGGAGTGCAATGTGACTGAGGAATGAGTGAGAGAAAACCACTCGCCACAAAAACAGCTTCTTCCCGTCTGCAGCTAGCCTCATCAACAAGGCCCGGGTCCCCCACTGACACTTCCCCCTTGCAAATAATACAAATGTCTCTGCACATGTAAATACGGTTTCATGTCATATCACGCACAAACCTGGCACATTGCACATTTTTGTTGTTAATTGTTAATCTCTGTTGTTGCATATTTTTATATTGTCAATTTATATATTTATGGACACAATACTCTCTAATACATCTGCACAACCCCGGAATAATGAACATGTAAATATCTGCGATGTTGTTCTTTCTCTGCAAATAGTTGTATTATTTTTCTCTATTCTTTTTATTACTCTTACATTTTACATTACATCTTACATCGTCTATTCCATATTTATATATTTCTACATTTATTAATGTCAACTGTATGTCTGTCTGCGTGTAGCACCTCATCACCAAAGCAAATTCCTCGTATGTGTAAAACAGTACTTAATAAGCTCCTTCTGATTCTGGATCTGGAGAGCCGTCCATTGCTGGTCAGACAGCAGGAGAACGCTCTGCTGAAAGGCTGGGTCTGTGGGCTCCTGTCCCGCTAGATGTTCACAGGAAGGATCATGCCATCTTGCCATCTGATCACTCTAATGCTGAAAGTATCTGAGCGTGTCACTTCTCCATCAGCTCAGCCGCACTCTTCTTCAGATGCTTTTATCTTGCAGATAACCATGTTTTCAGCCACTAGAGGTCAGGAGAGCTGCAGAAACAGACATACTGTTCAAATCCCTGTGAAACATACTGAGCCAACACAGTTCCAGAATATAGTTTTGCTATTCGTTTGCTGATGCTTTCTTTGTAGCTGTGTTGTACACCACCTCTTCTTCTTCTTCTCCCATTTGTCAGAGGAGCATTCTGTACTAACTCCTGTCACTGTTTCCTTTATTATGTGTTTCTCTCTCATCCCTATCTTTATCATATTGATCTGTCATTAGTGTGACTAAATACATTTACTCATGTACAGTACTTAAGAACACATTTGAGGTACTTTATTTGAGAGTTTCCATTTAATATTGCATCATACTTCTGCTCAACGACATTTATTATTTGACAACTTAATTATTTTTATATAAAACATGATGCCCTGTTAAGATTAAACAAGCCAACAGTGTGAATGAAGTAACGAGCTCCACAACCTGCAACACCGTAACTGTATTAATGTGATCAATTTTTACAATGAGAATAACTCGAAGTCTCTCTGGGATGGAGATTTCATTGATAAGGTAGAGCTGAGTGAAAACAAAGAAAGAAGAAGAAAGAAAGAAGAAATAAAATAAGAATAAATAGTAATGGTAATGATATAGAAATATAATAATAAATAAATGCATTCTAAAATATCCTCAAATTACGAACACACACAGATTCGGTCTACTCTCTGAATTATTCCAGACAAACATCTAAAGGCCGTCTTTCCAACATCAGTATTTACTGCAGGAGCACAGAACAGGTGTTACAAGTGTAATGTAGCACGTTTTGGAGTGGCCTTTTATTGTGGCCAGCCCAAGGCACACCTGTACAATACCCATCAGCATCTAGATATGCCACACCTGTGAGGAGGATGGATGATCTCGGCAAAGGAGAAGTGCTCACTAACACAGATTTTGACAGATTTTGACAGATTTGTGAACAATATTTCTCTCCAGGTTTTTATTGCTGTAACTCTCTCTGTGTGTAAGTCCTCCTTGTCTTACCTTCAGCTCATCCAAACCGTTCCCTCATCATCCCTTAACATTTCAAGTTACACACAAAATGCTACACAAATATTTTTTTTAAATAATATGACAAGCTGGCTTCTCTCCTTCCATAGCCTTATGTTCTGGCTTTTCTTCTGAAGCAGCTCTTTATTCGACCGCCTCCATCTTTTCAGACGCAGCCTTGTAGATGTTGTTGTCTCTCTTTCTGTCTCTGTACCTCCTTGTCCTTGTGTTCGGCCCTGAGTCGTCCACTGAGATAAAGGCGATGAGAGTAGAAGTGTTCCAGCACCGAGACCAAGCAGCAGTTTCCCTTTATTACAGTCCTAAACCACACCAACCAACCAGAATGATGTTATCGGTTCAGACGCAGGACCACACACTTTGCCTTAATACATATTTAACCACTCTCACTGGCTGTTGCAATTCGAAATTGGATGGTGTCCGATCCTTCAGATTCTGCTTGAAAACCCTCACACTACAGGATCATTTGGGCCAATAGCTCACCTGCAAACTCCTTCACTGTGATCTGATAAAGATATCATCTTTTTAAGTCTGTCAGGTGTCTGTGGTGAAACCTTTAGACTGAGCGTGGTTATGTCTCGTGCTAAAGATTGAAGCTCAGTGGGACAAGCGGTCACACTTGAGAGATAAAGTCAGCATGCAGCACCCTGCAGAGTGAAGAGTCTGGCGCTGTGTCCTCAGCTGGATTCCTGCTGATTGCAGCGCAGCAAATTCCACTTTTGATTAGAGCCACAAATAAAGCTTCACAGGCCACTGAGCTGTGACAATAGACAGTCTGCTGAGTCCATCCAGCCTGATAGGCAGGGCAATGAATGCATAATACAACAGCAGGACCAGCCCAAACAACCAGTTTCAACCAGGCTGGCCCACTAACAGACTGGAACAGGCAGCACACACCCACTGAAGGACGCACATCATTGTAGGTAAACTCTTATCAGCTCACCCAACTCAGCCTGGCCCTGCTAGTTTGTTTGTTTGCACACATATAAAACAGCATGAAACCACAGAATAGAAAGGAGACAGGAGAGCTCTTTATCCAACAGGCTTCCTGTCAACCCAATTTCAGGAAAAGAAAAATGTCTGAACTAATAAATACAACATGATTTAGCAAAAGAAAAAGAAACAAATGACGATAAGAAACACAAAATGAACAGAAGAGTTCACCAAACAATAAAAAACACAAGATATCCTGAATTACTCACAGCTGGACCCACATCAACAGAATATCATGATTAACGTCAGACACTTTAGAAAGATCTTTAGGAGCGATACTAGTTTCCATAGAAACTGCTAAAAATATGATTGAGGGTCCAGAATCTAATTAGAAATCCCTTTTACTAAGGAACTCATTTCATTATGGTCAGCAGAAAAACATACTTCATCTGCTTGTGGAGGATCACTTTGTTGAGGATGCTTACGTCCTAGGAAATCTAAAGGACTACGTGTTATACATTTTAGTAACGAGAGAAGCAACAACATGAAGAAATTTATCTCCAGATTAACCAGATTAAAATCTGCAGATGATGTTTTCTTATTTAGTACAGTCAATGTAGATTTTACTTTATATGTTGATTCTTTAAATGTCAGTCATTGTTCTACTGGTAAAATAAATATCTCTGGTCACAAACTGTCTCATTGGTAGGTGTGTTTAAGGTCAATAAACAGTGAACAGCTGACCAAAACTAATGGAGGGCCGCCACTATCTGTCAATCAATGTGGTCGTTAAAAATATGTTCTCAATGCATTTCATTTTTAATTCTGGGGGAGAGCTCTCATTTGGACCCCCACAGTGTCTGAACATGGTTACGCCCCTCTGTATTGGGGGGGGCAGACCCCCAACAGTTAATCTGTATTATTCATGAGTGTACATCTTGTCCTCAGTCAGCACACGGACTGTGAAGGACTGGTCAACGGACACTGAGGAGACCCTCCAGGGGCCTCATTTATAAAGCAGTGCGTAGGATCCTTACCTGCAGGTAACTTTCCCTTTGTAAATCACAGTCCACCTGGACCTGGTCCAGGAAATCTTCGTGGTCCATGAACACTCGCTCCCTCCTCATCCTTCCGCTGTCCAGCCATCGTGCAGAGTTACACTCGAGTGTCACTGCAGTATTTATGTAACAGTCACACTGAGTCCTTCACACCTGGACAAGATAATGGTGTTAATCAGGGGTACCCTCCACCCTGAGATATCATGTGAAGATGGAGGTTTGACAGGTGAACACATTTCACTTCAGTCTGCATCATTATCAGGACTGATGACGAGGATAAGGAGTGGAGCGACAGTGTGAGAACATCATCGTGACATTTCACCAGCTGTGGTGCTCCACACACCTGGCTTCATCATAATGATTCCCCTCACATTCAATTCACATATAACATTATCCACATAAATGATCACACTATAGTGGTAAATCAGGAGACATAATCTACTCCATAGAAAGTTTATTTTGAAACATTTGGCAATTCCAGTTCTTTAATTATATATATCCACAATTAGAGGTGAGCATATACATTTTAAAATGGTGTGATATGTGTTGTTGGCGTTTTACATTTTATCTGCGCTTTTTTATTGGAGGAAATTTTATTATTCTGTGATCTCACCATGGTTAGAGATGTGCACCTTTTTTCACACACAATGTTTCCATAAATCCAGAAAAGCAAATTCTTTGTGTTTCTAACACACTTCTCTGCTCCTCCATTTCAGGAGTTACTTAGTGAAAACCCTATAGTGACGGTGTCTGCCCCCCGACCATCGAAATGATTTAAATCAAAGGTAAACAGAAGAGGAGCTGTGCATAAAAACCTCATAAAAATTAAAACCACAAGAGCAATAGTGCAAACTAATAGGAGAGTTAAATGTGGACTCTTAAACATCAGATCTCTCTCTTCTAAAGGTGTACTAGTAAATGAACTAATATCAGATTATGATATTGATTTATTTGGTCTTACTGAAACCTGGCTGGGTGATGGAGAATATGTTAGCCTAAATGAATCCACCCCTCCCAGTCATATTAATACTCACATTCCTCGAGGCACAGGCCGAGGAGGTGGAGTTGCAGCTATCTTCGACTCTAGCCTACTAATCAGCTCTAAACCTAAACTAAACTATAACTCATTTGAAAGCCTTGTTCTTAGTCTTTCGCACCCAAGTTGGAAATCACTGCAACCAATTCTTTTTGTTATAGTGTACCGAGCACCTGGCCCGTACTCTGAATTCTTATCTGAATTTGCAGAGTTTTTGTCAACTTAGTCCTTAAACGGACAAAGTTATTATTGTAGGAGATTTTAATATTCATGTGGATGTTGAGAATGACAGCTTCAGTACTGCGTTTATCTCTCTGTTAGATTCCATCGGCTTCTCTCAGAGTGTTCATGAACCGACTCACTGTTTTAACCACACCCTCGACCTTGTTTTGGTGTATGGTATTGAAATTGAACATTTAATAGTGTTCCCACAGAATCCCTCTTTATCCGACCACTGTTTGATAACTTTTGAGTTTGTATTGCTGAACTACACACCATTGGGCAAAATGTCTATACAAGATGTCTGTCTGATAGTGCCATAGCTAAATTTAAGAATGCGATTCCATCAGCTCTAAATACATTATCTAGTCACAAAGTAACGGAGGACTCCTATGCTAATTTCAGTCCCTCCCAAATCGATCATCTTGTTGATAGTGCTGCAGGCTCGCTGCGAATGATACTCGACTCTTTTGCCCCTCTAAAAAGAAGATAATAAAACAAAGACGGTTAGCTCCATGGTATAATACTGTAACTCGCAAGTTAAAGCAAATATTGCGGAAACTTGAGAGGAATTGGCGTTCCACCAAACTGGAAAATTCTCGTTTAATTTGGCAAGATAGTCTTAAAACTTATAGGAAGGCCCTCCGTAATGCCAGAGCAGCGTACTACTCGTCATTAATAGAGGAAAATAGGAACAACCCCAGGTTTCTTTTCAGCACTGTAGCCAGGCTGACAGAGAGTCACAGCTCTATTGAGCCAAGTATTCCCATAGCTCTCAGTAGTTACGACTTCATGAGCTTCTTTGATGATAAATTCTAACTATTAGAAACAATATTCACCAAAAACCTGCCCTTAACTGGCACCGACTTATCTCCAAACTCAGGAACCTTAGAAACAGCTGTAGAACCAGATACATGTTTAGACTGTTTTGCTTCCCTCAATCTTTACCAACTAACTTCAATAATTTCTTCATCTAAACCATCAACCTGCCTTTTAGACCCCATCCCGACTAGGCTCCTTAAAGATGTTTTACCCTTAGTCAGCACTTCTATACAAAATATGATCAATCTATCTCTATCAACAGGCTATGTACCACAGTACTTTAAAGTAGCTGTAATTAAACCTCTTCTGAAAAAGCCCAAACTTGATCCGGATGTTTTAGCCAACTATAGACCTATATCTAACCTTCCATTTCTCTCTAAGGTCCTGGAGAAAACAGTTGCTAAACAGCTGTGTGACTTTCTACAGAGCAATAGTTTATTTGAGGATTTTCAGTCAGGATTTAGAGCTCATCATAGCACAGAGACAGCACTGGTGAAAATTACTAACGACCTCCTTATTGCATCAGACAAAGGACTTGTCTCTGTACTGGTTTTATTAGATCTTAGTGCTGCATTTGATACCATTGACCATCAGATCCTATTGCAGAGACTGGAATATTTCATTGGCATTAAAGGAACCGCTCTAAGCTGGTTTAAGTCCTATTTATCAGATCGATTTCAGTTTGTACATGTTAACGATGAATCCTCCATGCGCGCCAAAGTTAGTCATGGAGTTCCACAAGGATCTGTCTTCGGACCAATCCTGTTCACTTTATATATGCTTCCATTATGCAATATTATCAGGAAACACTCCATAAACTTTCATTGTTATGCAGCTGATACTCAGTTATATCTATCGATCAAGCCAGATAAAACGCATCAGTTAGCTAAACTTCAAATGTGCCTTCAGGATATTAAAACCTGGATGACCTGTAATTTTCTAATGTTAAACTCAGATAAAACTGAAGTTATTGTTCTGGGGCCCAAGCACCTCCATGACACATTATCTTAAGATATAGTTTCCTCTTAACACAACCCTCACCCCTGTGTGCTTAGTGTGTCTGGTTGCCCACCCATCATCTCCACCCCATTTCACACCTCACTCCTCCCCACAATGGAAACTACCAAGACCATAAGCACCATCTCTGAACAATCCCCCAGCCCCTCCTCACCACAGCTGTCCCCAGCCCCAGCAGAGGGAACTCTTCTGGCTGAGCTTCCACATAGCCAATTGAATCGTATGTAGAAATGTTACGGAGCTAAAATATAATAATCCAAAGATACATTTCACACCAACGAGTTCAGGTCATCTTAATCTGAATTTACAGGCCACCAATATGTGCTGACAATCGCTCTGTTCTCCTGAACAGAGTTATCATATATATATATATATATATTTTTTTTTTTATTAGTAGTTTTTATTTCACTAAAATGTTTTTCACACCTAGTTTTAGTTTAGTTTTAAAAGTGTGTTAAAAATAATAACCTCTCTAACATGTTGCGTAGACCTACTTTTATTTTGAATTTTTTACACTTGATTTCCATTTTGGTTTCAGACAAAATTATAAATTGACTGAAGTACACAGGCCACTTCATTCTGCAATTCAAAAAGGAATAATGTATTTGTTTTTCATTTTTATTCCTACAACAAAAAAGTTTTTTGGTTTTAAATTAGAAATGATTTATCAATTTTCACACCTAGATCCAAATGGCCAACCGCGAATTTTTGCCTCGTGACGCTTTCCTCGCGTGAGTACATTCGCTGCAAGTGTTCACACACAACGCGAGAAGGCGATTTTAACGCGATAACGTTAATAAACACAACTCGCCATTACTACAGCTGTATGAACCCAAAATAAAAATATTTTGCTGTGATTAAATAGCAATAAACGGATCAAACTGATGCCGAAATAACTACAATATGATGCAGTTTTGTTAAACATATGAATTCATGCTTTGTCAGGTCTGTCAGCAAGACAGCAGGACAACAACTTCTAAAATGTTTGTTTTCTGAATGGAGTTTGGATCGATCAGGGCTATGCTAACTTGGTCAGAGTAAAGTACAATGATAGCTGGATTAAAGTTACATACACATGTTTTCTTAACTCACCAGGTAGTTCAACCTCCTCGCTTTCTTTTCTCCCAGCAATGTCCAGTTTTGTCCGGTTTTTATATAAATATGAAGTAGTGCCAAACGATGCTAACAACACTGGAACCGGATGTGCACGGAATCTAGCTGCTGAGAAGAAGCAAGAGAAATAACGTTTTAATCCTAAAAACTAAAGCAAAAAGCTAATTTAATAAAAGCAGTTTACTCCTCCCTCCTCCCTCGAGCAAACGGCGTAGTTGCGAGCAAAGTCCAGTCCGACCACGGGTGTTTATTTGTCCGAAAGCTGGAGCGCTGCTCCTTGCTCCTCTCCCCCAAGTTTAGCAGCTCTCAGCCGGCCAGCAGATTTTCGATCGCCCGCTCTGCCTGGCCCTCTCCACACAACGCTCTGAAGCTGTCGGTGACGTACGGACAATCTCAACGTTGATAGGCTATCGCGACTCAGCGTCATACGAATTTCTCGCTTGAGTTGAAAATATTCAACATTGCCTGTGGAAAAGGAGCAGGATCATTTCACCTTAGCAGAAGTTTTAAACAAAATACTGATTTTGAGGTATTAAACTGTTTGGATGTGCAGTATTTTTCTTCTGGTGTCTAAAGTTTAGATGACTGCAAATCTAAACTTGCATACGTTTTATCTCTAGGTTATTGATTAACAATTAACACTAACAAACTATGCTTATATAGTTGTGGCTAGCGGGCATACTAGATTTTATCATGGCTGCAACTTCGGGGGCAATTGTAACACTGTTACAAAAAAGCCACATGGCCCAATGTAAGCAGCTTGTTTGTCTGTTTTGAAAATAAACAATAAACTAGTATAAACAAGTATAACAAACCCCCATTTAACATAGGCCAATAGTCTTTGTATAAAATAGTGTAAAATAGTGTTTTTGTATCTGTTTAACAGAAAGTGTGAATATTATATAGGCCTAAGTCTGCAAAAGTAAAGTTCCTTTCATTGTCAGTTGTCTGTATAGTGGACTTAAAGTAGTTGATGGTATAAGACCCAGCAAAACCAAAGAGAATGACTAGTTCACTTGTAAAAAGCAATTTTATGAAGTTAGAACAGAGAGAGCAGAGGATGCCTGACATCTAAAATAATTTGAACCATTTAAAAACTCTTATGTAACATTATTAGCTGTAAAGTAATTACTTTGAGGTAGCTAGGCTTTTACTGAGATGCAGTGGGTTAATATGACTTATTTTCAGTGTTAAAATTGCCCCGAGCAAGGAGGCAATTGTAACACTCTGACTTCTTGCATTTAATTAAATATTTTAGTCTTGTTCTTATAAGTGAAAATATCAATTGTATTATTAATTAGTGCACATTTATATGTTTCTTGTATCAAAAGATGACTAGTGTATCTCAAGTAGTTTGTGAGTTATTAAGGAAAATGTAAAAGATGTTACAATTGCCCCGTCTCCCCTAATATTTGGTGGATCTAGTGACAGAAATGCCATATAAGATCCATAATTATATTTCAGTGATCTATAAAGACCTTACATAATGAATCATTATGTTTTTGTTACCTTAGAATGAGCCATTTCTATTTACACAAATGCAGGCCCCTCTTACATGGACGTCGCCATGATGCAGCCTTCATCTTTCTACAGTGGCCTAAAACGGACACATCTACAGAGTGCATTTCGTCTATAGACTGTGTATGAAAGGTTTCGTCACTACTTTGTTCTTCTTCTTCTTGTAGAATTCTGGCA